ACGCACATGGAAGAACTTTTGAGGACTTTCGACAGCCTGGGCAGCAGCCACTGCTTCCCCCAGTGGCCTGGATGGATGAACCGAGTTTGCTGCGCGACCCATCTGGCACGCAGCCCTTCACGGGCATCCCACTTTAACAGCTGCTCAGCGCCACTGCGCCGCTTCCCCCAAACAAGGGCATCCGTTGTAAGGGTCACCGACCCCAAAAAGGGGAAGATGCTTCAAACTGGGCCAAAGGTCCGAGGAAAGCATCGAGGTTCACATGTTTGAAAACCCTTCGGGTGGTGAGCCCAGTGGCATGTATGAGGCGGGCTGCCGCCTCATTGTAACGACGTTAACTGGGTCACTGGTTGCAACGGCGTTTGCAACCTTTGACCTTTCGTTTGGTTACTTCTGGAGGGGAACTCACTTCACTGGACCCGGTTTATGCTTGTTGTTGTTTCGCGGGCTTCCGTTTTCAGAGCACTCCAGCAACCCGCCCGGACTATTTATCCACTATATCAACTTTTCCAGACTCCCCCTAACTGAGGCACCCAACCTAAAACTCTAGAAAATAGTTTGGATATCCCCCTTTTTTTCTGCCTGTTGGTCCTTTCTCAGTAACCTTTTAGTACTCTTTTAATATGTTACAGGGGTGAACCCCCAGAATTCCCATCCAAACCGTTATCCAGAGAAACATACCATGGACCCCCATTTTCAGCATGAGGTTTGTGGAAGGACCTCGCGTGGTCCATACTCTTCGAGGAGTCCGGCAACACGAAACGACGGACTCCGTCGGGGAATCCATCAGAGCCACTCGGCTTGGCATCTGCGAGCCTAAGAAACAACAAAGACGACCACAGGTGCCATGGTCAAAATACCCTTTCACCTCAACATGCGTGTCTCCCAACATGAATGCACAAGGTAAAAGGAGGGCTGGTCATCCAAGGATTCCCAACGAGTAAGTTGTGTTTCGAGGGACCCCTTGTTTGAGGCTTGCGAGGTAAACCAAGCGGCAAACTGGAGCCGTGTTTGGGGCCCCCGAAAATTTGAAGGCGGGTGTTTTGAGGCTCGGTATGCTTGGATTGCTGAAAAAATGGCATTGGCCCCTTGCCGGTTCCTGCTTAGGATGGTTGAAAGCAGAAGGAACGACAATCCAACCAACAAATGAGGCCCCCTATTTCGAGACATACCCATTGTGGGCCACTTCAACCATCAGACAATCACGGCCGGGTTTTAGTGTGCTATGTGCCATCAAAGCACCCCTGTTTTGGGCAATCATGAGATGTCATGAGCCCTGGAGTGGTTTTTGTGTGGACCGGTTAAGGGTTCCTTGACAGGGAGCCATGACCAAGGCATACGTCATCTCAAATTGACGTTCGGCGGGGGGGGGGTGCTTCATCCATTTGAGTTCGTTTGGGGAGAGTGTGTAAGGTATACAGGTAATACAGGGGGGTATGTATTTGGGAGACTTGTACCACGGGGGCAAATGCTTCTACTTTTGAATCTTTTGCCACATGATCTCTGGCTGCGAATAAGGAAGCATGTGTGCCAAAGAGGCAAGCAGGGTTTCCATTTCAAGCTTGCAACACAAACTCGACCCTACGCCTCATGTTTGAAAACCGTTGGTCACCCAAAAGCATGGCCAATTCAGAACGGTTTTCTTGGGGGCGGGTCTTGCTGGCCTTTGGTTTCCTTCCGCATGCGGAAGGTGCCGTTTCAGTTTCTGTGCTGGGTACGGAAGCCCGAAATCCATGCGTGGAATATTTGATTCGGAGGTTGTTTCTAGTGAACTCTGTGACGAAGGGCATACTGAATTACGAGGCTCCCCTAAGTGGTTGTTTGGATTGGTGGTTGGGGGGTTTGAACCCTGGTAATTTCTACAGGGAAATTTGCACCCCCTAGCCTTCAGGCTTGTTTGGCTTCCTGTAGAGCTTCCTCTGGCACGTCGGGTCAGCTCAACCGTCCACTGGCTTGCGGTGATCGATTTCTTGAAGGACATATCAGTGACTTACCTGTATGGCTATGTTGTTGGATCTTTGGGCTTATTGTTTTTTGGAAAACAGAGGGCTTTCCATTGAACCAATAGAAAGTTAAACTTGTTGCAGCGGGTCAACAGCAACCAAGAAACGTTTCTAACGTGTCAGCGGCACCGAAAGCGCTAAATGGAAGAGAACACATAAAGGTTGACATCCATGGTTGCTAACAGTTTGATTTCAGCGTTGCTTTCTGTGCTATCAACCAAACCATTGTGCTAACGTAGTCATGGATATAGCCAGCCCGCTTTGATTTGACCATTTGCATTGGCAAGTTTGAATCCCTGTTTTGATTGATTTGTTTGTTTTGTATCCTTTCGGGTGTGCTTCAATTCCGAATCCCCAGTGGACCGGCGGAACAAGTTAACAAGTTGCCACTGTTCGTCTGAAATCTGGCCTGCTGTTCGGAGCCAAGGTTTCAGCTGAGCTGCGTCGTTGCCTACCACAAGGTGGGAAAAGCCGGGTGTGTGTCAAAAGGAAGGCCCCCCCAAAAACCGGTGGCGTCCTTGCGGTTTCCCTTTAAGCGCACACAAACCATTTGGGTTGCCACTTTGTGAGTTCCTTTTTGTGGATAAGGTTGTTTTAGGTCAACCACCTCTGTAAACATATAAATATATATATATATATCTTAAGTGTTATCTTTGTCCCTTACTAAAATGTTGGTAGAAAGATTGAACTCCAATAGGTTGAGGGTTGATTGCCAAGGAGTTTGCTTTGGACGGTGCGAATACGGATCAGAATCCGCCAAATCATTTGTGCAAAGCTGGGTCAGGGGCAAAAGCTGAGGTAACTGCCTTTTGGCGCAGTGTGGTTCCTCACTTTGGGCGCCGAGCGCAGTTACAAGTCTTTCTTCTATCCGATCACAGGCTGCAACTGGGTAAAGGTTGGTTTCATGCTCTTCACCGTTCTTGGCAAGTCCTTCGTTTTTTTTTTTTTTTTTTGGTTTTTTTTTTTTTTTCCGGTTCCGTTTTCTGTTAGCAGGGGGATTAAAACGCAAAAAACAAAAAACACTTGTTTGCAACCAAGGGTTGTGAAGGCTCCGAACTCAAGTAAGTTCGGACTGAAGAAACAGTTCTCGGCCAGTTCTCTGCCGGCACCAGTCGAACTCTGTTTCATGGACCGGGGCTGCTCCTATGAACCCCCTAAGGCCCCACCGGATCTCACCGAAACCTTGGCTTATCTCGGCTCCAGGTGTCCGCACCCTGACCCGTTTGGGGATCCCAAACCTCGGACATCAGATCTGGTCTGAGAACCAGGCAGAGACTTTAGCTGAGAACCCCCTGCCCTAAGCATACCAGAGCAGCGGAATCTGAAGGGGAAAGGGAGCTCTGGAAGGTTTTGGATCTCAAAACCAATTGCAGGGGCCCGTTTGCGGCTGAGCCAGCGACGTTTGGTCCAGGCGGGCATCTCCATGTCCACCTTACTCGTGGGTGACGCGCAGAGCGGGCCGCTGGCGCGTTTGTTGCTGAAGCATCCGGCCGACCGAGCTTCGGCGGAAGAAGACAAACACGTGCAAGGTGGAGCTAACTGTTTCTCACTTCTATCATTAGGGGGCGCTCCGAACGTTCGATGGAACACAGATGGAACACAGCTAGGTTCTAAATGGCCCACTGTTGATTCCCCTGTAGAGGAAGCCAAAAGAGGATGGATGAATCCTGAAAGTTCCCTTTCAAATGGTTTATAGTCCGACATGTTGGGGTAGCTTCCCCGTTTATGGTCCAGGCTAGGTGGATTTGTTTAACACGAGAAACAACAAACGCTCCCTCAGCACCCCAACCCAAGCGCTTCCGGGTCTCAGCTTGCTTCATGAAGAACAACCGTGCAACAACATGGCCAGCCTTTGGTGTGTCACCAACAAATGGCTTTTCCATTCAACCTACCCCTTAGTTTGTGTTTTGGACCTGTGGGAGTTGAATCTCTTGTTGAGGGCACATGGGGTTTCCCACCCAAACCTCCAAATTGTCCCACCCTTTTTCCCTTCTTTTTTGGTGGCCGCCCCACTAAAAATGGTCTTCCCCAAAAAGGGTTCCCTTTTTTCCCAGGGTCACTGAACTGAGAAGGGGAAGCTGATGCAACAAGTGGATCTGTTGCCCTTCGGAGCTCAGGAGTCTTTACGCCTCACTCGGCGGAAGTGATTGGCTACGGGGTACACGACAGCGCATGGAGAGGAAAGCCGGTGATCACGCCCTACTTCCAGTCCTTTATCAGGACTCTCAACAAGAACCACCAAGCCACCCGTTTGGTCCATTTTTAGAGCTCCCCTTGGTAGGGGTGATCGTTTTTTAGGTTGGAAATGTGGGCAACCCCATTTTTGAGTTTTCCTTGATAGGGGCGATAGTTTTTTAGGTTGGAAACATGGGGAACACCATTTTTGAGTTGCCCTTGATAAGGGCGATGGTTTGTTCAGCTGGAAACATGGGGAACCCATTTCTTTTAGGGTGCTGTCAGGACTCTCAGCATGTTTGGCCCATTCTTCGAGTTTCCCTTGGTAGGGGCGGTAGGGGTGATAGTTTTTTAGGCTGGAGATATGGGGAACCCCATTTTTGTTTGGTGTCATCAGGACTCTCAACATGTTTGGCCATTGTTTTGAGTTTTCCTTGGTAGGGGCGATGTTTTTTTTAGGTTGGAGATATCTGTTTTTTTCTTCTGGGGGCGGGGGTGTTCAGGAGTCGGGTCTCCAACAGCATGTTTCATTTCTTTGGGGTGAGGCCATTCATTTTAGTTTGCCCGGGAAGCCAGAAGGGCTGTTCCCAGACTGTCTAACACCCAGCCGAGGGTAGACCAAATTATGAAGCGGACATCTCCCTCCAAAACCTCCCTGCAAAACTCATGGCTGAACATACCCCGTATTTTCACATATGGGTTAAATCCATAGCTGAATATACCGTCTTTTCAGATCCGGGTTTCGGGCGACTTGTCCGCTTTTTACCGCAAGAATAATTCGCCTTGGGCCACAGGACAGTGGCGGACACGAGCAACGGGGACATGCTCATGCATCTCTCCAACCCCTTGGAGACGCCTCAGCAGTTGCAGCGCTTCTTCGCCCAGGGAGCCGGGCGGATGCTCCATGTGGTCCGCAAGCCCTCGGAGACTTGGAGGCCAAACTTCAAGATTTGTTTGTTTCTCGAGTGGCCCCTTTGATGTTGCCTCACTTTAAGAACTTTTTTTTTTTCTTTTGACTTTTGCTCAACCTTGGCTAGGTCCCCCAGTCGTGCCCTTTCTCACCCTTTTTTTGGGGGAGGGTTCCCCTACTAAAATCGACTACAGAAAGAAGTTGATACCCTTATTCTGACCTCTCTGCTGGAGGACCTGGTTGGCGTTCCATCATTTGGGAACCCCCCACTGTTGGGTTTGTAGAAAGTTAACTCGCTTTTTCAATGTGTTGCCCCTTTGGTGTTCCATCATTTGAACTTTGAGCCATAATAAAAACCCGGGTAAGTGAAGGGCGAATCTGTGGATGAACCCCAAGATATCCAAAGCTAGAAAAGATTCAACCGGGAAAGCCGGGTGAAATGCACAAAAAGCAGCAATCCAAACTGTGTTCTAGGTTCCCATAGGCCAACCGACCACCCACATGGAGGGTATTGGAAAACCCGGATGTCCCCAGAACTTTGCCTATTACGCGGCCGTCCTCGCTTTTCAAGGGAAACCATCAAAACAGGAAGAATGTTCAGAAGGAACCTCCTTCTACCCAGTACTGCCCTTTTACCGATTCTTTTTTTGGGGGGAGGGTTCCCTACTAAGATAGACTGCAGACAAAAAGTGGGTACCCTAAACCCTAAGCTCTCAAATCTGGAGAAAACCTTCGAAGGTTTCTGGGGTGCTTCGCTTCTCGTGGCTTGGAAAATCGCCTGGGGGGAACTTACCCACAAGAACCAACCCTGCAACCCCATTGGCCAAAGCCAATGCTTTGCTGTCACTGACTCAGGGCTCCTCAAAAGAAATGCGTTTTGTAAGCATTTGAAACATGTGGCTTTTTCCATCACAAGGGGAAACCACCATTGACAAGTTGAAATGTTCAGGTGTATAATGTAAGGATCCCTGTTTCTGTCACTGACTGACTAGACCAAAACGCATCGATGTGTCTCAAACTCTGGCAAAGATGGATGGTTTCCTGTTGGTTTCCCTTGATTAAGGGAGGGGGGTCCTCTTTCGAGCCTTGTGTGTGTGTGTGACCTTTCTGCTTTCCAATGTGGGGCAGTGACCGTGACCAAGGCTTATCAGGGGCTAATAGGGACATGTTTGGCTTTTGAGTGCCTGGCAACAAGGCTCCCAAAAGCTAAACATATCCCTCTCACTTCCTGAGTGGCTTGGTCTAACCAAGTCTGACCGGTTTATTTACCACTAAAATGGCAATTAAACCCACAAGGTGACTACAATCCACCAACTCAGGAAGTGAGGCGTTGGGCCGTTGGGGGTGCCCTCTTCCCGACAACCATGGGCCCTTTGCTGGCGACGGAGAGCCCCCAAAGACGAGGGCACTCTGCCCAGAGAGAGCCGATTCTTTCGTGGCGAAGCCGGGGCCCGGGGCCAAGCAGATGTTTATTCTCCCCCTGGCTACAAAAGAGAAACATTTAGCTTATTTTCCTCGGGGGCTTGCGCAACCGGAAGATTTTGGGTCAAGGTCCAGCAGCTGTGCCATTTCTGGAGGGTGGCCTTTACGGAAGGTGGTCTTCAGGGAAGCCCAAAAAGATCACGACATACGCCAGTTTGTTTTGTGGGTGTCTTGCTAATTTTCTGGAGATTTTCCAGGAGGTCTCGGGATTCTATGCACCTGTGAAGTTGCATCACTTCGCTGTTCTTGGCATGTTTTTTGTTTTCCTTAAAAAAAAAAGTTGTTTGGTTCTGTTCAGTTTTACTGGGGGTCTGCAAAAAACAAAGTTTTTAGCTACCATACCAAGAGTAGGGATGATCAGTTGCAGTTGTCTTACTTGGGTTTTCGTTTATATACCACAGCGGAACCCCGGTTGCCATGGAGTCGTCTTTTCCCCCACTTCCTGAGTTCCTGGACTTACGCAACTTTTGGGGTAGACCCTTCGAGTGGAAAACACACAGTTTGGCGACAGTTTTTTTTGGCCCATCCACGAGTCAGAAGTGGGTTTAGAAACAACAAGTCCGCCTTTTCCAGTAGCCAGTTGCGCAGTGGTGCCCTTTTTTATCCTTTTTTGGGTAAGGGTTCTCCTTTAAAGTCAGCCAACCAAAAAAGGATGCCCTTGTTTCCCATGGTTACTGCGCATTTGAGAATACCGTGTGCGTGGGTCGGGTTTTGCCTGGAAGCCGAGGACATGATCATCTCCGGGTACATCTACCACCGCCGACACCGCTCCAAAGGCGAGGCCTGGCTGCACTTCCGTGACCCCCCGGACTGCCTCAGCTGCGACCACGAGGCGATGGAAGGATCGGAACAGGGAAACCAATTAGCAGGGAGACTGGGTGAACCAGGGATACGGGAGGATTCCCCCGTTTGATGCACCTTGACTAAGTTTGATATGGGAAATAGCGCCAAGTTGGAATCCCCCGCTCCCTTCGTATCCCCGCGGAAGTTCGTTTGTCCAAATTGGAACAGGGCCCCCGGCCTCAAGGGTTTGGGGTGGAACCCTGGGCGGCGGAATCCAAACTGACCCAAAGGCAGCCACATGGCTCGGTGCACTTGAGGACTTGGAGGTGTAAGGCCCATGCCCCTGAGACTCAGTGGTTCAGTGGCACCATTTGTTTTTCCAACTTTTGTTTGGTGGCCCCACTAAAGATGGTCCAAGCCCCAAAAAGGGTTCCCTTTTTTCCAGGGTCGCTGAACAGCTGAGGAAAGAATACTTGTTTGACTCATGTGTTTGTCAGTTGCTAAGCTTTTGGCACGGATTGGCTTGGCCCGGCTTACGCATGTATCTTCCCAGATGAAAATTGGAGCGCAACGGAAACCCCATTGTTTGGGAGGCATCTCCCTTTTGCTTTTTTTCCTTTTCAGGTTCCTTCCATGAGTTTGAAGGAGAGTAAGTAGGGATGGGGATGGAAGGGGATGAGCCTTGTTCTCTTCACAGGGTTTCTCAATAGAGATCATGTGGGTACGTGTGTCTTTTTGAGGAATCCCCCAAAATGGCAGCCTTCAAAACCACAACAACCGGGACGGTACCCTCAGAAACAACTCCCGGGGATCGTGTGAGACGGCTTTGTGGACCAGAGGTGCGCATGCCGATTTACTGGTTCTGAGCCCGGCGCTAAAGAGCACGTTGTTCTTCACCGCCTGTCAGGCTGTGCAGCCAACGCCCCTGGAGTTTTCATTTTGCCACAAATCCACTACATATACCTTGGGTTTCTTGGGGGTCTTTTGGAAAGACATGCTTTCCGTTTTGGAGTAGGCTACATCGGACACATTGGACAAGTTTCTTTTTCGGTGTACCCTGGAGCTGGGGCCAAGTTAAATGAAAACCAAGAGGAGGCTTTTCTTCAAACACTTTAAATCAGGGTGAAAGTTGATGGGGCAATTCAATGTGGGTGAGTCAAGAAAGGGGGACTAAGCCGAAATGCGCATGAATTTTAATGGGGGACTCTTTGGTGGGCATCATTGCTGGGTGGGGATTCACATCCACCAACCACGTTTGAGGGGGTTCCCTATCAACGTTTATTAATAGGAAAAGTGGTCAGATTTCCGACTAAAACCAGAGTCGGACACTCCCTATTGACAAGCTGGGTTGATTGCCGTCGGGTCAACTATTTAGTAGGTAACCCTTTGGCATGTGCACCAGGTTTTGCCATGGACGGCTCCCCCGTGGATTCGGGTTGATTACTGAGGGGTCAACAAGCAGATGACTTGGACGTTTGTCAGAGGCTTGCAAGTGTGTGGCTTCCTTGTAGGCGTGGTCTCAAATCTTCCAGCGGTGCGGCTTCACGTGCAGCTACCACCAGCTCCTGCGGAACGTGAGCACTCGGGAAGGCGCGTGGTTGATGTTTGTTGAAATACGTCTAGGTTTCGATTTGGAATCTGGTTTGATGCATGATCTTCAGGAAGCCCACAGGGGATCGGCTGTTCAGGTTTTGTTTGAATTGTTTTTCCTGAGCCCTTTATCACCACCAAGTTTCAGGTAGCCCTTAGTTGCTGATTGGATTGGTGATATGGGGATTTGATCCCATGGTTCTTGTCGAGGGTAAATGGGAAACCTCCCCCTTAATCACGAAACCGAGGAAATGCAATTTTCAGGATGTTTCGCACTCCCCCCCGACCCCAAGCCGCTACAAAACAGAAGTCCGGCGATTGCAAGCTGTCTTCGAGGTGGGTCCAAACCGCGTTTGGCGTACCCAGGGAGATCCTTTGCTTGCGCTTGGGTCGGCTTCAGCATGCCTTGTACAGCTACAGCCAGTATCACCAAGGGTCCCAACGAGACTTGATGTTTCAGGGTTCGGGAAAATGTGCTTACAGTTGGTGTGGACGTAGATGACACCATATATTCCATTTGGTTTAGTCCGCTTTGCTTATCCACAAGGGGAATTCTGCCATCTACTTTTACCTTGGCTTAGCTATAGATAAAAGCGCAACTTGCTGCGCTTGTCGGCCCTGGGGTACACCAAGAAATTCAATACGGGATTCATCCAGACAAAATCCCGAATCCCATCGGCTGCTTGAGCCGCCGCGCAAGGCCTACAGCTTGAGGCTCTGCGGAGCCGCTGGGATGTGATGAAGATGCTGCGGAATGCCTGGGACTGGAAGGAGCTGACGAACATCTTGCAGCGGCCCGGCGGATCATGGCGAAGCGGCGGAAAATTTGACGAGATATTTCCCTTTGCAAGGGGTATCTTTTGTTTAGGATAGTTTTGTTCTTTCCTGTTTTGTGTTTGGGGATTTGTTTCCCTTCCTTTCTCTCTTTAACTTGCTGGTGCGAGAGATGCAGGGAATGAGAAAGGGAATGACCCCGAGATAAACCATCTAACTGGTGGCTTCCTTTATTCGGGAGTCCCCAGGTTCACTCACTGCCTGCTGAGCACCAGCAAGCTTTCTTGGGGACCAAGTGGCAGTTTCAATCAAAGCGTCAGTTTCAATGGAAACCACAAGTCCATTGAAGCTTTTGAAGCCTCGCCTTGCGGCATCCCCAGCCCCTTGCAACAATATCAAGGGAAAGGGGAGGAAATCGCTCCAAGGTTTGCGAGCTTGATCAGAAAGATTCCCTTCCGCTTACCCAGTCTCACTCCCCAAGTTCATGGACTGAATTGGGGGGAGGGGGGATTTCGACCCCTGGTCTCCATTGATGGTAACCCACCCTTTTCTGGGAAAGACCTAAAATTGGCATGGGGGGCCCCCTACCCCGCTCCCGCTCTATCGGTAGGGGGGATATTTGGATGGCGAAACTTCCGCGTTCCGTCAGTATGAAGGCTGTCCCGGCCTCCAGCTGCCTACAGGTTCTCGTCACGGTTAGCATGTGGCCAGGGCAAGTTTTGACAGCGATCGAATTGACCGTTGCAACGGCTTCTTCCGTTGCAAAATGCATGGGAGGTTGAAGACCAATCGGATTCCAACTTTAGTATTGCAATTTCCATTGCAGGGTACATGGGAGGCAGAATGCCAATCAGAATCCAACTTATTTCATATACAAGGGTTTGCCCATCCACCTCCCGACTCGTAAGGATACCTCGGCCTTTCCCCGCTGGTCCCTGCTCGGATTCCTGAAGCGCCCAATCAGGTCTTATTAGGTTTTATCGCAAAACAAGAGGGTGGGGAAGGTGGTAGAGATCTTCAGCCGGCCAAGTTGGGCCGATAGGTTTTTGCCCAGCTCGAAGACTAGGTCCCCCACGACTGCCCTTTTTCCATTCTTTGGGGGAGGGTTCCCCTACTAAAATGAACTACTGGAAAAAAAAGGTACCCTTATTCTAACCGCTCTACTGGTGGACCTGGAAGACGTTCTTTCAATTGGTGGTTTGGATTGGTGGTTATTTGGGGGTTAGGGAGTGGTTTCCATTGACGCTCACCAGAACCACGGGTTCACATCCAAATCCAAACCACCAATCCAAGCCGACTAAGGGTTACCTGCTTTAACTTCGCTGTTCTTGGCATGTTTTTTGGTTTTTTAGTTTTTTGGTTCTGTTCATTTTTACTGGGGGTCTGCAAAAAACAAAGTTTTTAGCTACCATACCAAGAGTAGAGAAGTTAAGGTGCAAATCCAATTGCCAGCCTGGAGGATTCCCCGACACTTCGCAGGTAACGCCCAAGAAGCGTCGCAGGGAGGCCAAAGGCTTGGCCAAAGCGAATCGACCGGATCTGACCGGATCTGGTTTCGCATGTTCAGTCCATAGTCTTGGCAACCCAAAAGGTGATCGCCTTGGATTTCTGGGTGCTTTGGGCAACTGAGTCACGAGTCGATGAGGGCTGCGCATGTTTGGTGCCACACTCAAATGTGACCATGGCCAGCGGATACTGTGGATGGTTGCGAAAGCCAATTCGCAAACCCTGAGAATGGTTTCAACCATGGTTTCAAAGTGGTGCAGGATTGTGTCCATCCACAGTAGCAATGCCCTTTCAATACACCTTGGGCAGTGATGAATCTGAGAAACCAGCTGTTGTACATCTCGCTCCCTGAGTTCCTGGACATCAAACTTTTTGGGAAGACCACTTTAGTGGCAACAGACCAGATTTGCTTTTTCTGTTTTTTTTTAACCAATCCGATCAGGAAGTGAGCTTTGCATGCCGCTTGGGCCAATGCTTTTCAAAGGCCTGATGCTCATAGCCCTCTAACTTAGGATGGGCCATGTGCTTCCACCCGACATGGGCCCAAGGTCAAGGGGGACGTGGATTTTGTCAGGCATTGCCGCAAAGTGATTCTTTGCCCGCTTGCCAGAGACGCAGCCGAAACTTGTGACTCTGGGGGGAGAGGTCACCGCATCCCATGATTCCCTGGCCCTGCATCAATTGAGGGTGCGCTCTGAAATGCGGACCCACCCAGCCCTCTGCTCAAACAGCGGTCTTTCCAAGATCTCATCGGGCCCGATCCTCGGCAACCAGAAGCGACCCACCAGTGATTCCCATCCTGAAAGCCAAGGTTGCCCTTGTCTAGCTTCGATGTCGAGTCTTGGCATCCATTATTGCTGCAATGTTGCATCCTTCGGTGGGATGCATGTCGCCTTTAAGCTGCAAAAATAGCAGCCTGTCGGCATATGACTCTGTCCTTATTATATGAGACAGTATTCGTTTGGTGTGATTTTGAGTGTTGCTTGATGTGGCAGCTTTATTGGAACCTACCACGTGATGCACCACTCATTCTGAATGGGCAATCCTGCGACCCATGCAAGGGTGTCAATGGGATGCGTTGGTGAATCACCATCCCCTCATCATGGTTGTTGTTGGGAAACATTTTACATTTTGCTTATTGTGGTTTGGTGGGAAATCCTCACTTAGCTGCTAACTTCTTTTTTTTTGCTCCCCTTCCAACGTCAACCAAGTTGAGAGCTCCATTCTGCATGACGCTGTTTTCGGCATCTTCACTGTGGTTGGCATCAGTTTCAGGTGTTCAGATTTTTGGTTCTGTTCAGTATGGGGCTGCAAACAACAGTGATTTGCCAAATCCAGTCCTGTTCATGGGTTCTGTGCCAGCCACAACAGGTTCTGGCTATTCGTTTGTTGACTTTCCTGCCGGTGTTATTGGTTTCATTGATGTTGTGGAGTCTATTTTTTGGAGGGTACCTGAAGTTCTCGTAGGATTCCACCTCCGCTTCCCCCTCCCTTCTTCCCGAAGCAACGCAAAGGGCTTTGTGGGAAACCAGTTGTGCCGTTATGGCGGGCGATCCAGTGATAACCTATTGAACATTTCGTCCTGGACCACCAACCCCAAACAATGCGACTGTATGCAATCATAGGTGTCCTTTTTGGATGTCTTGCTAGACAAATAGATGGCCCTGGTTTACCTGGTGGTTTTTCTCATCTACCAGGGAAACCCATCTATTTCCCCTAAAAGGACACCTATGTATGCAATATTCACCCCATCCAACTCCACATGGGTGACCTGTGTTTACCTATGGATTGTTTGGAACTGTACTGGTTCTCAGTGGATTGTTAGCTTGAGGCTTGGGGATGAACCGCACGGATCCGGATCCCTGTTAAAAAAACGCCACACGTGATGGTTCATAGTCGTTCCCGCATTGCTGAGCTAGCCGGCTCGGGTGCAGCATGTCATGCATGAGCAAACCGGGAGATTCAACCGTCAAGGAATTCCTAGTAACTTTGGTAGTGCTCGGCATTGACGCCTAGAACGCCTAAAACGCCTTGAGAACCAGAACGCCTAGGAATTCCTCGGCGTTGGAATCTGCAGGAATGCGCTATTGAGTCTACCGTAACTTCACCCAAGACCAAGGTGAAAGGCCTTCTCCGTGTTTTTTTTTTTTTTTTTTTTAAATGAAAAACATGGTTAAAAAAAAGGGGGGGAAACACAAAAAAACGTGGGGGTGGCGGGGTCGGTGGGCCTCCCTCCCGCTTGCCTAAGATATGGCCATATTTGATCGGCCACATCAGATGGAAACCAGGGAAGATTTGGGGTGGGGTCCCTCGCGGAAACGGTGCCAGTTTCCAGTACCGAGCTTCCCCAGAATTAGCTCCCCTTTTTGCCTTTTTTTTTTTTTGCTTTTTTGGGTTCCCCTTTGTTTTCCACTAACCAGGCAAAAAATAGATTTGTTTGCAGGGGCCCAGCAAGGAACCGGAACTTGATAGCAACAAACCCATGGGGATGGCCTTGGGGCTGGGGGTCGGAGTTTAAATGTCAGCTGCGAAGCTGTGCACTCGGTCTGGCAAGTGCCAATGCTACTGATTCCCGAAGCATCCGTGGCAGCTGGCTCCGTGCCTGGACCTTTGAAGGGCCTTTGAAGGTTTATTTGCGCCTGCAAATAGCAAATTTCCGGCGGAAATTTGTGTGCTAGGTCCTCTTTTACCCTTTTTTTAAGGAGTTCCCCCAGGCAAAATAGACTACAGAAAAAAGTTGGTACCCTTATTCTAACCTCTCTGCTGGAGGACCTAGTCTGGCTCGCGAGGACTTCAATGGCACCCTGCGGTGCCTGGCCCGGTTCTTCCTATGGCCAAGAGACCTGGATGTGTCCAAGTTCCTGGAGGAGTCCGTGTCCATCGACCCCTCCTTCATGAGGCCAGAATGCCTGCCCCCCCATATCACTCCTGAGCGTCGTTTCGGACTTGAGTTACTTTTCGGGTTTGGACGGTTTTAGTGGCTTGCACAACAAGTTTGGACTTGTATTTAGGGAAATCCACTCTTGAACAAACCTCTTTTGGCTTCCTCAGGGATGACTGAGTCGTACCCAAAGTCGGATCTCCACAAAGAAGCGACTTCAAACAAAGATGGGTTCCACTACCCCCAAACCACCACCCCCAGGCTAAGTTGGGATATAGCTTGAAATAGTGTTTTTCTTTGTTTTCTTCCTGGGTCCTAGGTGCTGCGATTTGGGGGGGGGGGGGGTTTTACCATCTTAGCCTCTTTTCGTGGGGCGCCTTTTTATCTATTGATTTGTCTATTACACCCTGGGATTACATCCTAGGAAAACTACTCAAAATATCTTTAAATAAACAAGAACAATGATGTTTTATTAGGAAATTGACTAGAATAGTGTTTCCCCAGAGGGAGCAATCCCAGGGTGTAGTAGGAAAACAATGGGATTTAGAAATACCAGCTCTAAACGACCTCAAGTTCAAGGGGTGCAACTCCGGCTCCCGATGTTAGGCACTGCCGGGAGCAACAAGACCGAGGCCAGTCCACGGTCCGGTCCACACGAGCCGGTCCGTGTAGCAAGGTGTCTTCTCCTTTTGTGGCTTCACTAGTAGCATTTTCTTGAAGCAACCTGTAAACTGAATAACATTGTCAGAAGTCAATTGCCCTGTGCAACTAGGATGCGCATTCAACTCTTTACAGGCTTCATCCATCGTTTGATTGAATCAGTCGCGCGGCCTTGAAACTACAGTGGAAACAGCAGGAAACAAAAGGAACCAACTGGACACATGAAACATAAAAACAACGCTCCGTGTTCAAACCTGCGAGGCAAAAAGGGCTCCAGATCCGAATTGGCCACCTGTTTGTTGGATTCCTCACTGGACCGCTGGTGATTGGTGGCTGGATCTTTGACCTCTCAACTGTCAACTTGTTGGGTAGTATTCTGTGTTTTCCAACCGGCCAACAAAAAGTTAACCCGTTTGCGCAGGGGGGAATAGCCACCAAGCTAGACTATGATGACAGTGTTCTTTGGGCAGGTGAAGAGGATCCACTTTAGAAGAAGATTGTCCTTCAGGACCCCGTTTCAGGTCTCAGAGTCCAACGTTGGGAGGTGTTTGTTTGTGTTTTTTTCCCGGTTGCGAGGCTTAGCCTGACTTTCGGCAGCTCTGGCCCTTGTTGGTTGCCCATTGCGCCTGTTCAGCCCGAAACCGCTCTTTGCA